TAATAATAATAATAATAATAATAATAATAATAATAATAATAATAATAATAATGTAGGGTGAAATTTCCATTGAAAAGAGGGCAATTTTGAAAAAGCCTTTCTTGAATAGGTTTTCCTGCACCGCTCATCATTTCAACCCATTCTAAACACATTCCAACCATTGAAACCTTGCCAGGACACCTTATTTTCCTAACCCTAACCCTACCCTGGTGCACACCCCCAACCCTAATAAAGGGGAAAAGTTCCATTGCAAAGTGGACGATTTTGAAAAAGCCTTCCATGAGTAGGTTTTTCTGCACAGCTCAGCATTTCTGCCCATTCCAAACACATTCCAACCATCGAAATCATGCCATGGCACCCCATTTTCCTAACGCTAACATTGCCCTGGCACACACCCCTAACCCTAATACAGGGGTAAAATTTCATTAAAAAGAGGGCAATTTTTAAAAACCTTCCTTGAGTAGATTCTTCTGCACTGCTAAATATTTCTGCCCATTCTAAACACATTCCAACCAATCATATCAGGACACCTCATTTTTCTAACCCTAACCCAGTGATGGCGAACCTTTTTGAGACCGAGTGCCAAAACTGCAACCCAAAACCCACTTATTTATGGCAAATGCCAACACTTCAATAAAACCTGAAAACTGAGGTTTTGGTTTAGAAAAAGCAACTCACAGCCAGTCCAAGCAAATATCCATCCATGCATCCTTGGCAGTGCACTGACCAGCCATGCGAAAGCTGAGACGAGTCGCAGCTAATGAGACGCGGCTCGTGATGGCATTGCCTGGCGGTGCTACTGCTCTCCAAGCATGCGCATGGCCCCTGTGTGCACTGTTATCTGATGCTCCGCTGCTGAGGCGATGCTGGGGTGACATGGCTCGCGTGCCGACAGAGAGGGCCCCGCGTGTCCCCTGCGGCACGCGTGCCATCGGTTCACCACCACTGCTCTGGGACAATTCTGAACTGTGCTTAACACACACGGAACTATGGTGGTATCACACAATTCGCTCCTTCAGGACCCCAGCGTCCCTTTGAGAAAAGAGACCAGTGCCACAATATGCCACCTCTGCGGCCCACAGCACCACCTTGGCATTAGCCCTGCACTTGCTGAAGCCCTGGGCACAAGAGGCACGTACCGGCCCAGCGGGAGGGCGGACTACTTCCTGGGCACAGCACGATGGGAAAAGCAGGAGAGAGAGGTGCAACCCCTGCTTGACTACTCCTTTGCCAGTTCTGCTAGCCCTGCACCGTACTGCTCTGAGGATGGTGGTGAGTGGGAATCCCCTGCCCAAGCACTGGAGCTCAGTGGGAGAGACTGCTTGGCACACAGATGATCTCTGGTTCAATTCCCAGCCTCCCCAGAAAGACCGGGAGCCTCTGCGGGCCCGGAGAGTCACTGCCAGAGGGACCGGTGACCGGCTTGTCCTTGGGCAGCTATCCGGGGCAGCAGCATCCGCTGAGCCCATCTCCTGCATCCACTTTTCAGTCTGCAGGGAGTCTGTCCAGCATGCGACCATCCTGCATGGGCGGGCATCGCTCATGTGCTGCTGCCTTGCTCTCCTCCTGCCTGGGATTTGTGCCAAAGCAAGCCAAGTTCCAGGGCCTCCAAGCGACTGCCAGCAGCCCCTGGCAAGCATGGCAGATGTCACAGGCCCGTGGAGCCAAGGAGGCTGCTTGGTGGTGATGTCAGCGGCACCATTAACACGGCATTGTTGGTGCTGTGCAGATACGGTCTTACTAAGAAGAGGAAGAAGCCCCCCTTACCTGTGTAGGTATTGGCGGAGCACCTGGGTGGACAGTCCGCCTTTTCTGTGGAGGCGCTTCCCCTCGGAGGGTCCCCGCACACAAGGGCCGAGGGCTCCTCTCTGCTTCGCCCCATCCTTAAGCAGGCAGGCTGCATGCTAGGCAGTGGCGGTGGAGGGGGCGGCGGCGGTGGAGGGGGCGGCGGTGGGGGAGGCGGCGGCGGCGGTGGGGGAGGCGGCACCCCCTCACACATCTTGTGCTCTTCTGGACCACCTGGCGGTGCAAATATCTGGATGGGTATATCCTTCGAGCGCTTCTGCCGAGGGGCCTTGGAGTCCTTGGCTGGTGACGGGCGGGAGGCCCTCAGCTGCTTTGCGGCGGCCCCCCTGCCGATCGACCGAGGCTGCGGGGCTGCTGGGGAAGGCTGGCAGGAGGCCGGGGCTGCTGGGGATCGCTGAGCCCCTCCCTGGGGCTGTCTGGAGTTCAAGGGCTGGGAACGGGGCGTTTTCACCACAAACTGAGCCGGACATTTCTGCAGGATTAAAAGCCGGCACATTTCAAAAACAACAGTCTGGGAGCTTTTAGGACCAGTGGTTCCCACCCAAAACAACAGAAGGGTCGCCGCCCTAGTTTCCTGTGGCAAGGAGACACCGGAAGGGCTGGGAGGCTGCCTGCCACCTTAGACCTGTTACTGCCCAGCGCTCAGGAGGGCTTGATGAAACATGATCGCATACCACAGTAATATCACTCTCCCTCCGAGGAGCTCAAGTGTTGGCCATGAGGCTGCTCACAAGAAATATTCTGTAATCTGAACCCAGGCCATTCTAGTCCTCATTACGGACAAAAGCCCCCCCAGCCCAGCACCTTCTACCTGTGTGGACCACCAACAGGCACAATTCCCACCCATTGTGCCAGTTGCATCCTACGACCCGGAGGGGGCAGCTTGCACAGAAGGCTGCTTTCTGGAGGTGCTGCAGCTGCCGTGGGGCTCCATCTCTTCCCCCCAGTCGTGCCATCTATGCCCCACCCGGCCAGGGGTGCTCAAGGGTGCACGGAAGTGCCACACTTTGCAATACTCACTTCTTTGAACGTTTTCAGCCTCTCCAGGGTTTTCTCTCTCTCCTGCTTTATCCAAGCTTTCTTCTTTTTCTCCTCATCTTTCCTCTTGTCCCTTTTCTGCATTCGAACACCAACACAAATGGACATGCTCATATATTAGGTCCGCAATCTCTTTCCAAGATAACCAAAGACCTCTGGTGTCAGAGTTGATCAAGATAACAAGCATGGGGCTTGGATTCTAACTGCACCCTAAACTCCTTGTTTCTCCCTTCGGCTAGCAGAATGTGGAGAAAGCCACTCCGCAAAGCCAGGTTCGTTCAGGGCCTTGCTGGAAAACCACGGAAAGCTTACTTGTTGTCAGCCCCGTTTTCTGTAAAATGATCATAAATGCCAGAGGACTCTGATTAGTCTACAGTTCTCAAAAGGAAATGGAAGAAATTTTGCAGGGTATTAAAAGAGAAGTTACTGTTCTGCAAAAGAGCTTGATTAGTCTGCTGGGAGCTGGCAGAAGAGGGACAGAGCACTCCCCTGCCCTGCAGCCCCCTACCGCATGTCCCTGCTGCACGCCAGGGAGGGCCGAACACCCCACACTGCCAGCCTGGCAGCAGGGCCCTCTCCTGTGTGGCGACCGGCCCACTGCTGAAATGCACAGCCCGGGCAGTAACCAGAAGGCACATGGGGCAGCGAATCTTCTGAAAGCTGCCTGAGCCCAGACAGTCACCTGGGCAGTACGTCTGCATTGCCCTGAGTTCCCCAGGGAAGGTGAGGCAGGATAGGCATATAAGCAGTTAGGCAAGAAACGATCTCATGCCTTAGCTATAGACAGCATCAGCAGCACGAAGGTGGCCCTGTGCACACCCACTGGGGACCAAGCCCCATTCGATACACTGGAACTCGGCTCCCAGTAAGCATGCAGCTTAGGGAGTTCTGCCATTTGCTGGGTAAAGAATCGCAATTCTGGAAAGCTGAATTCTGCAACCCAACCAAAGTATGCAAATCAACCCTTCCTTAAAAACTATTTTGCACGTGTTATTCTGGTTTTGCCAGTCCAGGCGGGAGGGCAAGACACAGAAGCTCCACCCACAATGTGAGAAAATCATCTTGCCGGTTTGGAGAAGCTGTTGTTGTTATTATTATGCTTCTTAATTATATTTCTGCACTGCCTGCTGGTTCAAGATCTCCGGGCGCTTTATAACAGCAGACAAAATACAATATAAAATACAGAACAGCAATCCAAACATCGTAAAAGTACAATAAAATTTTACAAGCCAACACTAGCTTACACAAATTAAATCACAACCCCTGTTAAGCAGTTGACATAATGCCCCAGTATAATATAAGACTAATTAAAATGTCCTGCCATAGAGGGCAGTCTTAACCTGATGCTGAAGCGGGCACCTCAATGGGGGGGGGGCAGCTCCATCGCTGGGGGAGGCACCCTTGAAAAGCCCCTTCTTGTTCTCCCCAGCCAAGCCTCCCGTGGAGGCAGCAACCCGAGGCTGGAACTAAGCGCACAATTCCATGAGTGTCTTCCTTACCATAAAGGCTGGAGCCTCTGTGTCGGTTTCTTTTCGGGAAAAAGATTCTCAAGCAACTTAATTCATCACTTTTCCTGCACTTGCACTGGGCCAAGCCCCCCGCCCCCCGCCCCCCCTCAGCCGCTTCCCCCTCTGCCGGCTGCAGCGTCGCCTGACTTGCGACTCACGTAAGACTTACGATCTGAATGCTGTGATGCTGCTGGAAATGCCGGCTGCTCTCCTGTGCCTGCTGGAGCCTGAGCTGGCGGCTTTCCTCACACTGGTCCTAGGAGAAAGGGATGCAGCACAAGCATCGCTGTCACTTCTCCTCTCCGCATGGAGGGGTGTCCCCATGGGGGCGTCCGAAGAGCGGTACTGTATGTTCAAGCACAGCTCAAAAAGACACATCCAGCAAGAGGGAAACCTGCCTCCATCACAGTCGTTTCCCGCCTTCGGAAACCTTCTGAAAACCAACTCATGCCAAGGAGCTCCTCTCTGCTGTCTTCTCCCCGAAGGATTCTGGGAAAGCGACTAATTGCAGTGGGACAGCATGTCGCTTTGCATGCAGGAGGTCTCAGGCCCAAACATAAGGAGGGCGCTGGGCTGGGACGTGCTGGGCGGGTGCTGGGCTCTCAAGCACACGCTGCTCACACGGGGGGGGGGGGGGCACACCTCTTGCGCTACACAGCTGTCCTGCGTTGGTACTGGCAGAGCTTGCAAGCTGTCCTGTGGCGGCTGCAAAGTCATGGCCTGACACACTCGTCATGCTGCTTACCTGTGGCTCCCTGCCAACCCAGGCCCCAGAGGGAGGACTGCAAGCAAGAAAGGGCTCCCCTCCCTCTCATGCTGCCAGCAAGGGCCACAGGACACCCTGCCTGACTCAGCAGGAGACCATCTAAGCCCCTTTGGCGCCAATGAGCTTGGTGGCCATCATTACAGACTGTGAAAACCAGCTCCATCGTTTAGCTCTATGGTGGGCAAAGTTGTCCTTCTTTTACGAAAGGAGGTGACAAATGCATCCCTATCTGCTTTCTCCACATCATGCAAAAGGTTAAATACCTTTATCATGACACCCTGACACCCTGGAACCATGCACCAAAAAAGTCTTATTCTGCCACTCCCTCTAACTTCTGCGTTTTATCAGGAAATGCCTAAATACACTTGCAGCTACGGGGACCAGAATACAGAAGATTCTCAGGAACCTAAACTTTGTGCCAAAGCACTTCCACAGCAGCAAGGACTAGAAACTTGTTTGTGTGTTTTAAAACAACACCGAGCTATTCAGGATTGTGAACTCAATGGCCCATGCTGCCTTTCACCAGTTTGTTGTGTGGGTACTGGAACACACAGCTCTACTCTATGTCAAAGCACACCTGGAATTTTCTGGGACATTTACTTTTTTGTTCCTGAGATATGCTCTCCTGGAGCAGATAATCCCCCGCTTTGTCTCCAGCTGCTGCATCTTCTGTCTCAACTGAGCCAATTCAGAAGAAGGCATGTGGGTTTCTTCCAGGGCCTGCTCGGCAGCTTTTAACTCATCAGGATTTTCACATGTATCATAGTAAATGACTTCATCCTGAATCTCTAAGAAAGAATACAGTATTTAGTTGAAAAAAGCATGCAACAATAATTGTGTTTTGGGTGGGGAAGCAAGATGACGATGGGAGCATTCCCTCTACCAGTACGGCCCTCCTCATTCCAGCTGCAGGAGCATCAGCCCTGAATCCCAGGAGTGGCAGGTGAACTAAAGAGCTGAATCGGTTGATAACTTTGAAAATAAAGCTCTGGAAATTTAAATGCAGTTTATTCAGCTTGCTCAGGAGCAGAGAAAAAGGAGACAGATATGCTTTTCAATGGATTTGCTAGGTATTTGCATAACGCATACACGATTCATAAGGCCACAGGTAAGGAGAGAAGAGCAAAATTTGTGCTAGGCTGTGTCTATGCACATGATGACATAGAGGAAAAAACAGGGGTGGCAGAGAGGAAGAAAAAGCAAGAGAGAGAGGGGGGTGCCTCTGCCTGGGCTGGACTGTGGTCCTGCCCGCTGCTGGCATGCAGCCTTGCAAGGGATTAACCTCAAGGGAATGTGGTCTTTGGCATCAGAATGCACTCTGTTCTTGGAATGCTGACTTCTCTGTACGAGAAGTCACCCTGCTCCCTTACCTTTCATCCGCCTCCTTAAAGTCTCCAACTGTGTAATAAGCAGCATTTCTTCATTCTTCAGTATCTCAAACTGCACCTCATACAGCTCCAGCTGGGTTTCATAATATTCTATTTCCAGTTCCTCAACACAAGCCATGTTCTTCTCTTGCTTGTCAAGTGTCTCCATCTGTGGGTATCCCAAACAAAGACAGAAGCATCTTTGAGGCCACAATGAAGAGGCAGAAGGGTGCGCTGTGCATGGACTTTCCCCATCAGAGGGCAATTTCGAAAAGCCCAAGCATTTGTGGTGGACTTTTTCAGGGGAAAGTTGCATTAGATGACAGCATCCATTACCCTTGCCCATAAGACACACCAGCTGGGGTTGACGTCCAAAACATCAAGAGCAGCACTTCAAGGATGGCTGATTTGGTGGGGCTGTTTCCTGTACAGGAGTGATGAATTTAGGATAGGGCTGCTGCTTAGTTGAGAGCTTGGCCTTCGCATGCGGAAGGTCCCCAGTTCAAGCACTTGCATCTCTCCAACTTAATAGAAGAGAGGAGGGAGAAGACTGGGTTGCCAGTCATGGGAAAGGCCATGGTCCCCAAACAAACCGTGCAGGCTGACTCAACCCAAGGCAGCTTCTGTTCCTGTAACAGAGCCACTAACAGGACTGCAGCATTAATCCCTCCAAGGTAGACTCGGTGGTCTGTCCGGTCTTTAAACCAAACGAGAGATACCAGTTAAAACCTGGAGATGTTTAACTGGGATTGCACTTGGGACCTTCTGCATGCAGAGCATCTTGCACTCCTGCTGACACTGGCACCTCTCCCCAGAGGTTGTTGGAGTCTGTTCAATTCCACAGCAAGTCCCTTGCAAGCCCTTCCGAATCTCCAGGTCCAAGATCCTGGCCACATCCAGCAATGCCAAGAGAAACCAAAAGCTTCCCTTCTGTCCATTTACTGCTTCCACCCATGCAGGTTTTCCCTGGAAGGAGCAGCAAGGATTGTAGCCAATCAGCCTGATCCTATGAATGCTTTTACATCTGTAAAACCTGCTGAGTTCAAAGGGGTTCAAGGACGTGGCCCTACGTAAGCTGATGGGCTTCGTTCTGTGTTAGGCCGTGAGTAGGAGCTGTTGGGCTCCAGTCCAGCATGGTGTTCTGAAATTGCCCTTCTAAACTAAGGGCAGGGGGTTTGAGCTTATTAAAATCAACTTCAATAGCATCACTTCTGGTCACTGCTGCTTGCATTGGGCAAAATTCATTTTGAGATGAGCCAAGGGAGAGAAGAACATGGATAGTGACATGTTACCTGCTTCTGGATGTCGGCTCTCTTATGTTTCAGGCAAAGCTCCTTGGCTCTCATGTACTGGAGGGTCTCTTTTGCTAACAGGTACTTCAGGTTCTCTAATCTGGGAGAAGCAGATGCCCAGGCCGCCTGGCCAAAGCGCTTTCGGTCTTTCTCCATCTGCTTCTGCATTGCTGTTGGGCAGTCACAAAGCAAAGACACAGTCAAACAAATGAGGGGAGGGACGAGAGGGAGAGACAAAGCTATCTGTTGCTAACAACAGCCTTGAGCCTCAAAAACGTGAAGAAGCAAAGACCAAGTGGCATTTGAAGCAGGCCAGGTCATGGTACCAAGTGATGAGAAAATGAGCACAGTCTTTGGCAACTCTGGCAGCTGCACTAATAACTACCCACTGCAGGGAAGTCGGATGGGGAGTTACACTCATCCCCAAGGTGCAGGCACTGGGGCTACCTGGGGACAGAGGCGAAATAGCCAAACCAAGCAAAGACCTTCACCCATTAACTACCAGGAGGCACAATTCACTGGGATGTTTTGCTGAGCCAGCTGGAGTGAAATGACCAGGTTCTGCACACAATGGCCTGTCCCAGTCGTGTCCCCACCACCCCAAATCAAGTGCATCAGTCTCCCACCTAATAGCTTAGAACAGAGGCAGGTAACCAGCAGGCCTCCAGACATTTTGGCCTATAATGCTAAACAGCCCTTAGCACTGGCCACGCTGGCTATGGCTGACAGGAGCTGCAAGGCCAAAGCACCTGGAGGGCCACCACACCCTAAAACGTGCCGTCTGAGGGAGCTGGCTCAACACATCTCAAGGTGATGCCACCTCAGAGAGATGCTCACCTGCTAGTGCCATCACCGTTTCCTTGAAGTAACTGACGGTGATGTCCTGAATGGAGCACACGGCATCTTCGACCTGCTCTGTCCACTCCCCAGCCTCCTTCTGCAAGGCTTCTTTCCTTCTGGGGCCCAGCCGGTCAGCCTGCAAGGATTTCTGCAGAGAGAATCCATCTGATGTCAGTGTTCAACAAGGCATTCGGAAACAGTGCGAAAGGCATGCCCATGGGTGTTGATGCACAGACACTCATTGTCTAGAGGCAACAACAGCCATGCTGTGAGGAACAAGATTCCTTGCAGCTGTGCTCAGTTCTATGTCATGCAAAACACTTCCTGGAGCCAATTCACCTCTTGCATTTTCTGTTCACAGAGCCGGGGAAACAAATACATGAACACTTTGGGTGCTTGAAGCTGGGGACCCAACCGCTGGGGTGCCCAGGCCTCCAGACACAAATCCACAGTTCCAGGATCACAGCACCCTCTTCTGCCTCTTGCAGAACTACAGAGATGAGTGCAGAAGGGAAGGGTGAAACGTGGGAATAGCAGGCAGGAGTCAATTCTGCATCTCGAGGTGAAATGGCAGGAAGCGGCGCCCAGAGGGCAGATTTACAAAATTATGAATGAGATGGAGAAAGTAGAAAACAGCCTATTGGCTCCCTCTGTCTGAATATTAGAGCCCTACCAAGTGAAAAGGGGCTCAGGGCCCGGCACCTTTAAATGTAATCTGTGGTGCTGCTTGTACTAACTCTGTAACACTGAGGTGGCCCATTGCACTCAGTATCTTGCACTGTGCTTAGGAAACAGCTCCTCACAGTCAGACCACTGGGTAAGCACTAGGCAGGGGGACCGCTCAGTGGTGGCCCATACCCTGGGGAATCCATTCCTGAGATACGGCCGGCCCTGTCTGTGGTGCCTTTTAAAAGGGGTTTTAAAACTGTCATATGTTCACCAGGACTTTTAACTGAAAATTTTTGGTATTCAGTGCTGCCTGACATTCTGAAATATCAATCAGCAGTGAACGATCTATATTGGGTGGTACAGAAAAAGTAATGATAGTAAGAAGAAAAAGTCCGACTCACTGAAATCATTAAGAATGACATTAGCCATGACTCACCTACGACCACTGATTGCAAAAGGTTAGCTCCAAGCATTGCTCAGACCAGAGGCTACAAAGTCACGGAGGGCCATGGACACCAAATAGCTTCCAAGAGGCCTTCTGAGAGGTATTATTATACATTTGCAACCCACCATTCTTCTGCATGGAACTCATGGTGGCCTGCATGACTGTCCTTCTCCCCGATTTTTCCTCCTAAGAGCCCTGTGGGGTAGGTTAGGCTGAGAGACGGTGATTATCTAAAAGTCACCCAGTGAACTTCATGGCTGAGTGAGGACGGGAACCCCGATCTCCCAGGTTCTGGGCCAAGCAACAGGGAGAGAGCCAAGGAGGAAGGGCTAGCTATTTTTTCCCCAGGAAAAAAAATCCAAGTTCTTATGACCATCATTCAACACTTCATTTATGGACACACTTTGAAGAATTTTCCAGCTGAAACCGAAACCCTGGAAAGAGAAACCCACCAAGATCTCCAGTCTGTATAATGTTGCCAGTTCTCGCATATCTCTAAACGGCTGCAATAAATATTGATAGAATCCAGTTGCCACAGTGACCAGCTCCCAATAAGCTTCATCTTCCTCCTCGTAGAGCTCCAATAAGGCTACCAACTTGTCAGCATCTTCATGCTGGTGGAGAACCTACAAATGTAATAAAGCGTGATAATTAACTAGGGCTTCTGCTCTTCACAAGACAGACAGGGCACAACTGGCACAGCAGGGGAAATTTTTTAAGGGTTCTAAGTTCCTCTATGGCAAATCGCTTTCCAGCTGACCTAGGATAAGATCACAAATAAGGTCAACTCAAAAACAGTAAATCAATGGATCAATGAGGGTAAAATACCAAACACCACTACAAGGAAACTGAAATATACCACAAAAATAACGTTTTTATTCTATTTATTAAACTTATGACTCACTTTTCAATTAAAGTGTCCAAGGGGGGTAACAAGAGCAACATAAACATAGCAGAAAATAAACAACCCACTGTTGGAACCTACTTCAGCAAACCCAGTTTAAAGATGGTCGACATTGAATTGTCTTCAGTGGCCACTGGAAAGCAGCAGAGATGGAGCTAGGCTAGCATCCTGCAGCAGAGCACTCTACAACCTGCAAGCCACCACTGAGAAGGCCCAGTCTCACATCCCCATCCAGCGTCCCTCTGCTTATGGTGAAACTGAGAAAAGGACCCCTCTGAAGGCCCGCACCCCTGTGCTGGTTCATATGGGAGACTGTGACCTTTTCAAAAAGTTGATCTTGAGTCATGATGAGGCTTTCCAAATCATAACCAGCCCTTCAAATATTCAAACTAGCTGGAAACAGACACATAATTAGATGTTTCTAGATCGAATAAGCATGTTCAAATCTCCAGGGCCTGATGAACTCCATCCCAGAGTCATAAAAGAGCTAGTGGAGGAACAGCTAGTGGAGGAACTCTCAGAGCCACTGGCTATTGTCTCTGATAAACCTTGGAAAACAGGAGAACTGCCAGACGAATGGAGAAAGGCTAATGTTGTCCCTGTCTTCAAATAATCCAAACCCTTGGATACATAGCAAGAAGCGTGGCTTCCAGATCAAGAGGTATTACTGACACTGTATACGACTCTGGTGTGCCTGCAGCTGGAGTCCTGTGTTCAGTTCTGGGTCCCTTGTTACAAGAGGGATATAGCAAGGTTGGAATCAGTGCAGTGAAGGGTCACTAGGATGGTGGCTGGTTTGCAGTGGAAGCCATATGAGGACAGGCTGAGGGAGCTGGGTCTTTTCGGCCTTGAGAGGAGGAGACTCAGAAGGGGCCTGATAGCAGCCTATAGGTACGTGAGGGGGCCACAGAGGTGGGTCATGACCTTTTTTCCCCTGCAGTGGAGGGCAAGACACTTTCCAGTGGAGCAAAGCTCAGGGAACCAAGATCTAGGGTGGATGCCAGGAAGTACTTCTTGACAGTTAGGACCCCGAGGGTATGGAATGGGCTTCCATGGGAGGTGGTTGAAGCCCCACTGGTGAGGGTGTTCAAGGATAGGCTGGACGTGCACATGGTAGGCATGTCATGAGTGGAACTGCCTGGAGCTGGGGGTCAGACTAAATGGCCCAGGAGACCCACTCTTATGACCCACTCTGTTTCTGTTTCTAAAATCCATCTGCAAGCATCTTGAAGAAAATGCAGTGATTAATAGAAGCCAGCATGGATTTATCAAAAATAAATCCTGTCCGACTAATTTAATCTCATTTTTTGACCGGGTAACCTCCCCAATAGACAAAGGAAACACTGTGGACATAATCTAGACTTTAGCAAAGCTTTTGACATAGTGCCACACGACATTCTGATAAGCAAATTAGCAAAAACTGGACTAGATGGAAAAACCATTAAGTGGATCCAACAGTGACTGCTAAATGGGACACAAAGAGTTCTCATCAATGGCACCTTATCAAATTGGATGGAGGTAACTAATGGGGTGCCACAGGGTTCAGTCCTGGGCCCAGTGCTCTTCAACAGCTTTATTAATGATTTGAATGAGGAAGTACAAGGAAAGATAATCAGATTTGCAGATAATACAAAACTGCGAGGAATAGCAAACACCCTAGAAGACAGAATGAAGATCCAGGGAGATCTTGATAAACTTGAACACTGGACTGAAAGCAACAGAATGAGATTCGATAAGGACAAATGCTGAGTCCTCCACCTAGGAAAAAGAAAGCAAGTGCATCGATACAAGATGGGGAATATGTGGCTCAACAGCACTGAAAAAGACATTGGAGTAATTGTGGACAACAAGCTTACTATGAGCCAACAATGTGATGCAGCTGCCTAAAGGGCAAATGCTATTTTGGGATGCATTAACAGAAGTGTTACTTCCAAATCATGAGAAGTAGTGGTTCCTCTATACTCCTCACCAGTCAGACCTCACCTGGAATGCTGTGTCCACTTCTGGGCACCAAGATTTAAGGAAGATGCAGGTAAATTAGAAAGGGTCCAGAGGAGGGCAACAAAAATGATCCAGGGTTTGGAAACACTGCCCTGTGAGGAGAGACTGAGAACTGGGCATGTTCAGACTTGGGAAGAGACAATTGACGGGCAGACATGATATCCCTCTATGAGTACCTCAAAGGCTTCCACAAAGAAGGTCAAGATCTCTTCTTGCCGATACCCAAGTGTAGGACACAGAATAATCAATTCAAGTTGCGGCAACCCAGATTCAGGCTGGACATCAGGAAAAGCTTCCTCGCGGTCAGAGCAATACAGCAGTGGAACCAGCTGCCTAGAGAGGTGGTGGGCTCTCCCACACTAGAGACATTCAAAAAGAACCTGGACAGCCATCTGAGTGGGATGGTATAAATTGGTGACCCGCAACAGCAAGGGGCTGGACTCGACGGCCTTCATGGTCCCTTCCAACTCTACTATTCTACGATTCCTATAAACCCTCACCAGCAGAAGCAGTGGCAAGGGATGATGGGAGCTGCAATCCCAACATACCTATTAGTCCCTCTGGCTTAAAAGGACAGGGCAGAGAGTCAGGAAAACAGGGCAAAGAAACCATCCTTATGCTGGGCTTTGACGGGGGTTCAGCGATTCCCCGTGGATACGGGGGTGCCCTTGCACTGGGCCCGTGCGAGGGAGAAAGCCCTTGCTCGAGCAACTCGGCGAGCGGTTTTGACAGCTGCCCGCGCCGCCCCGCGCCGCCCCGCCCGAAGGGGTCCCTGCCGGCTGTACCCTCCGCAAGGCCTCCTTGGCGCAGGTCAGCCGCGCCTTCAGCGCTTTCCTCCGAAACTCGTGCAGGTTCTCGAAATACTCGTCCTCTTCTTCCTGATCCTGAGTGAAGAGGGTGTCGAGCAGCACTTTCCGGCCGCACACCTCCAACGCCCAGCCCAGGTAGCTCTCCAGACGGCGGCACAGCGCCTCCAGCTCGGCCTCTTCCAGCACGGGGCAGCGGGGAAACAGCAACGCCCACAGGCCGCTGGGGCCGGTCAGCGCCGGCGGCAGCTCGGGGAAGTAGGGCTCGAGCGGCGGGCTCAAGGCCGCCAGCTGCCGGTGGATGCCCTGCAAGGCCTGCGGCGAGTACAGGCCGGCCCAGCTCAACCGCTGCTCGCCGCCGTCCCGCTCCGCGTCTCCCGCCTGCTCTTGCAAGGTCCGATTGTGGCAGGTCAGGGCGAACTTGCTCTCGATGGCGTTCCAAGCGACTAGGAAGCGCAGCTTGTGCGGCGGCTCGGGCAGGCCGAAGAGGTTCTCCCTGATGGCCACCCACCCGTCCAGGCTATCCGGCTGCGCCTCCTCCTCGTCCATGGCGCGACCGCCGCTCCTGGCCTGGCACTTAGCCTGCAGGCAGAGGCGGAAACGGGGCCGGCGCTTCTCCCGCGGGCCGCGCCGTGCTTTGAACTTCAAAGGCACCCCAACGTTCTAGAACTCCCGCAAACTTTGTCTTCCGAGCGAAAGAGAAAGTGGCCAAGGCGGGCGGGCGGGCGGGGGCGGGGGACGTGTGGCTTTCCTCGTCTCCCCCTCCCCCCCGCTCTCTGGTTGGCTGATCGGCCTGAGGAGGGAGGAGACGCACCCTGCGCTTCAGCCTGGCTTGGCGTCTGCTGCCGGTCCCAGGAAGCGGATGGCGCTTCTCCTCCCTTTTCAAAGGAGGAGGGAGGCAACGTGCAAACACATGACGAGCATCCCGAGGAGCCAGGCAGTCGGGCCAGGGCTGGTGCCGGTGTTTTCAAGCTGGATAGGCAAGAACGTAAGCAAGGAGAAAGGAAGCACTGTGCCCGAAGGGGCTTCTGGACGATCAGAGCCTGTCACAGCGCGGGGAAAAACCCTCTGGCCCAGATCCACATTCCTGGAGGGCTTCCGCCTACGATACGCTGCAAGTCAGATCAAGATGCGTGGAATGGCCTTGCGTCACTTCAACTGTGACACAGGAAGAAAAATAAGTTGCTCCAAAAACTTTGGTGAATGTGCACAGACAAGCTCAGAAAGCACTTCTTTATATAAAACAAAATTATTGCAAATTGTTGCATTGTGTCATTTTTGTGGTCAAAGCATGAATCTGTTGAACCTAAGCATTTTTGTAACCATGTGTTGGCATGTCTTCGTTATTTAATATACAGGAAGGGACTCAAAAAATGGAGGCAGCCAAGGCCTTTCTGACTGTCCAAGAGAATCTGTGCTTTTATTGAGCAATTGTCTTGCTTCAGTCACAGGCCATTACAGGGCATCCAGAGCTCAGCATCCTGCACTCGTCATCTTCCTGTGTTTTCCCACTGCTTTTTCCATCTCTTTCCTTGCTGCTGAACTTGGCTTAGGAAAAGAAACAGTTGCACAAAGCCTTGACTGCTGGGACGTGGAACCATGCATCTGGAAGCACCCCAAAACACTGAGATGTTTTTTCTTCTCAAATTGAAAGTTCTAATCAACGTACTGCATTCTGAAAAGGATATTTCTATATAACGATTCCATTACACATTGCAATCATATTTCAGTTATTCCTTCTAACACCAGCTCAGCTTTTCTTGTACTTGCACATAGGTAATCAAAACAACACCATCCATCACAGTGGCAGCTGATGCCCACTGCAGCTGGTGGGGTAGGTAGCTAAGGAATAGCTGGAAGCTGTGAAGCAGATCCAATACCTAGTCAAGTTAAAGCTTTTCTGGATCGGCTCAGTTAGGAGTGCTAAGGTGTTATGCCCTTGCCCCAGGAGTTCGTACCCCAGCTCCCCTCAAAAGATTTCTACCTGCATCCCTGAGACAGGCAGCAGCAGGACTACGTTCAGCCCAAGTCGCATTGCTCCAGGTTTGCCCTCTCCCTCATGAGCGTAACACGGTCCCCAAATGGAATGCAAAGTGTGAGTTACAGTTGGTTGTCAGTCTCTGGTTCTGGGCTCTACCAGAACTGGGATTTCAAGTCCTGGGTTGGCCCACAGGCCCAATTGTTGGTCCGCAGTGGCATCCTCTTCAGGCCAAGCCCCAAACAGGTCCTTGAGGGTCCTTTTCTTCTTGAAACGCCTTCCAGCCCTGCCTCCCCAGCTGCCTCACCATCATCATCTTCTGGGCCAGGCAAAAGGCCTGATCTTGTCCGTGGGCTCCTCCAAAAGAGTTCATGTGGTGATGGAGCCAGTCTTAGAATTCTCTAACTTTTCTTCTGTAAACAGCTCCCTTCAGGCATGGAGTGGTGGGCAACTTCCTCCAAATCTCCACTGGCATTCAGCCTGCAGGCCGCGCATCAGGTATTCGGTGGTCCAGCCAGGTGGGCTGACTCTCTGCGGAATGCCTATTGAGGTGAGAGGCAAGACATTGCGTGAGTTCTTAAACCTTATTTTCCCTGGTAATAAGGGGCACAGTTCCCAGGAAGGGAAGGGGCCCAGAGCAGGCAGTTGTGGATGTAAAGGTTCAAAAAGGAAACGAGACGCAGAAGAGTCCTTATCATAGTCAACAGATAAAAACTGGTGTTTCCAATTCTGGCACGAAAATCTGCTTGGACTGTGCTTTCCTCCTGCCTCCACTCTTTCACACAGGAGACGCTCATTCAGATGGCCCAGTTTCGTGTTGCACACATTTCCTTACTTCCAGTTCTGGCTCATGTTCACCACAGTGGGTTGGATGTGGGAAAGGAGAGGTTTCATACACGTTCTGATCATTTGGACCAGAGCAAGGAAGTCATCGCTTGGGGCTCTGCTCACAGTCAGTTTTGTTCCTGATTAAGGGCCTTCTTGAGCCAGACTCAGCCTAGTCTGAAATAACTTCATTAAACTACATCAACACACCAGGATACATACATTTCCATCTTAGGGACCAGAATCTCACTCACTCTTGCTTTCTTGCTTTCAGCTTGGCTCGGTGATTGGCCGATGGCCCTGTTTAGAGAATATCAGCAATATTCAGCCATATTTTTGATGGAAACTGACACCTTATTAATAAAATAGGAATACTTAAACCAATCTAGACCACACAATTGACCCCAGCTACATGCATTTACATAAAAACATTTTAAACCTGAACTTTGCATACAGTGAGAAATCTCCTTCCAAGCTGGAAAATCTCAGCTAATTTCTAGGCTGGACGTCCACATGGTGGGCATGTCATGAGCGGAGCCGGCTGGTGCTGGAGGTCAGACTAGATGGCCCGGGAGGCCCCTTCTGACTCCCTCTGTTTCTATGTTTCTATTCTAAACATTCAGCCTTTGCATTGCAACAACCATTTTATAGCCTCAGAATCTAAAGCATGGATCTTTAAGCTACTCAGAAACCAAGTCAGAAGGGAAAATGATACAATTTCTGGATGGAGAGGAAAGTTTGGATTCTGCAATCTTTTGTTTCTTTGTAGCTGACACATGAAGCACAGTCTTTCATTTTAAAACAATGTACAAACTTTTGGTCTTTCTGGCACAACAATATTCCTGACACAACAATATTCTTTCTGGCACAACCATGTTTTTTCAGCCCTTAGCTGCAGGAAACTCACCCTGTTTGGGAAATTCTCTAGTGTGCTGACCAAAGGCCGAGCCAAATCCAGCTATCAAAGACACTTGCACTCTGCACATGCTCAGGGGCCGCATGCTTGCTGCTTCTGCAATTCTCACAGGTACTGATTTCCCCCGTTCTTAAGGCATGTCTTTATTCCTCAGCAGTACAACCTGGCTGCAGTCCTTCCTGGGGTTTGGGTTGGCCATTTCCCACCTCCAGGAAAGCCGGCAGTTCCACCTGAACCCTTTTCCTTTCCAACCATTCAAGCTCACAATTGCCAGCCCTTTCAAAAACAAAAAAGCCCCTTAGACCCATTGCCACTGCACCAGCAATCTCCACCTTGCAAGAACGTGCCCCGTGGATCAGCTCTTCCTCCTACGAATTCTGGCCAAAGCCTGCACCCCATCGCCTTGATAGCACCCGGCCTCTGGAGTCCACATTCTGAAGAAGGCAGCCATCCCCAGGAAGCCCCAGAATCTCGGCTCATCCAGTCCATCCCTCAACAGGCAGCCCTCTTCCTTGGGAGAAACCTCCCAGGATTGTTTTCAAGTTACTAGAGCCAGGGCAAGGCCCTCTGCTTGCATTTTAATGCCCCATTAACTTCAGCTTGAAACTGTTGCAACTGGACTTTCCTCTGCAGGTGGCTAGATGTGTATTCGCTCAGACTCCTTTTTAACCCTTAAGTCCCCTGCTAATTCTTGGGTGAAAATGAGGCTTTTCCTTGTAAATGCCTGACAAAAAGGGAGGTGGGCAACTGGCCCATTACAGAGACTGACTGACTGGTGGCCCGGGACAGAATGCATTGCAGGATGAGCTGCACTGGAGTCCAGCAGGAATGGCCTCTCCTCCCACTTTGAGTTCCGCCAGGGGATCAGTGGGAAAGACCTTCCCTGGCTTTTCACCAGTCCGACTCACTCCCCTCAATGGCAGCCATCATCCCACGTGGCTGGGCCTCTGGGGCTGCCCACGCAGAGCATCCACTCTTCCCAAGTCCCTTCCTCTCCCCCTACATTTTCCTTTTCTTCTTCAACCCTTTTGCTTGCACTGGGGAGTGTCACCCACTCTGCCCTCATCCATGACTTGATTGTGGATGAGGGGGCCAACCTGGCCTGCATAACGGAGACCTGGGCGGGAGAGGGGGGGGATGTCGCCCTCTCTCAAATGTGCCCTCCCGGGTATCTGGTTCAGCACCGTTCACGGCCAGAGGGGAGGGGAGGGGGGGTTGCTTTAGTTTACCGAGCCTCCATCTCCCTCACAGGACTTCCTGTCCCTTCGAGACCGGGGCTGGAGTGTCTCTACTTGGTGTTGGGCGATCGAGACAGATTGGGGATTCTGTTGGTGTACCGTGCACCCTTCTGCCCAACAGTCTCCCTACCTGAGCTGACGGAGACAGTCTCGGACCTGGTGTTGAGGACCCCCAGGATGTTGGTCCTGGGGGACTTCAATCTCCATGCCGAGGCTAGTCTGACCGGGGCGGCTCAGGACTTCATGGCCTCCATGACAGCCATGGGGCTGTCTCAACATGTCACCGGCCCGACCCATGAACGTGGACACACTCTGGACCTGGTTTTCTCGACGGGGCAGGAAGAGGGTGGTCTGAGGGTGGCAAATTTATGCTTGACTCCCCTGTCATGGTCAGATCACTTCCTGGTGAGGTTTGTGCTCAAGAGTGACCTCTCCCTCTGTAAGGGTGCAGACCCGATTGTGTGGGTCTGCCCCCAGAGCCGGATGGATCCGGAAGGATTCCTGAAGGCTCTGGGGGAGTTTCCGGCTGACAAGACGGGTGCTCCTGTCGAGGCTCTGGTCGAACTGTGGAACGGGGAGATGACCAGGGCTGTAGACACGATCGCTCCTAAGCGCCCTCTCCCACCAGGCAGAGCCCGCTCTTCCCCTTGGTATACTCCTGAACTGAGGGCGATGAAGCAGGTTGGGAGACGGCTAGAGCGTAGGTGGAGGAAATCACGGGATGAATC